TGGTCATATTAAGTTGCAGAGCAGCAGTGGCCACTCTCCCAAGGTCAATGTCAGAGGGGAGGGCAGCGAAGGATGGATGAGTAGGAGGATGGAGGGAGTAAGAGGGCAGAAGTGGAGTAGAGGGAGAACAAATTGGCAATGTGATGGGGGCTTACTACAAGAAAATGTTACAAAGAAAAATATTTGTGTACCCGCTGTAGCACAGTCTTAGACACAGCAGCAACCCCCCCATGTGTGTCGACCTTTTGTTCCTCACACATGCTCCCTTAGGTGCTTGTTTTGCTATCTGCCCATTTCCTCTTTTTGACGCTGCGAGATGTCATCTTGTTTTCTGTCTCACTGTGGCAGTGTTGGGGCACTCGCATACAAAGATTGCACTGTGCATTGCACTCATTATTTGAATGCATGGCAGGGATACCTGGTGACACGTTTACCTTGAGTTGTGCACCCTTTGGGGCCGGCATACCGTCGACACAAACAAAGCACCAAGGCCTCTGGGCTGAACAAATCAGATTTGGTGATTCTGGATATAGGGAAACGGTGACCATGAGACCAAACTGAAGAGACCATTGTTTTGAAGATGATCAAAAACAAGAAAACAAACATTACTTTCTTTATCTTTAATGCTGTTAATCCAGCCATCAACTCAAGTTATGTGTGATCATTTAGTCAGAATGGAAATTGAATGTACTTGTTTTATTTGTTTATTTCTTGAGCTGTTGTCCGTCCAGCTTCTGGGTTGCTCCCTGGCCCATGTAGGGCCCTACAAAAAAAAACAAGGAGGGGGCTCGGGTTTTTGTGGATTGAAGTTTATAAGGTATATAATCAACTTCAACGCATTGTAACGTCCTATATGAGTTTTCACACACGTGTCCAGTAGCATCATACATTAAACAATTTCAGGTTGGAGTTTTAAACCTTACAGAATAAAGAGACTATGCTCTGTAACCTGTAAACAGGAATATGAATGGAGTATTGGAAACTCATGTAAACAGTAAACACCATCATTGAAATCATGTCTCATTCAGAATGTCAATAGTCGGACCATTGGTGTCCACATAAATGAATCACTTGCACATGCAGTTATCAGAAGTACATGCTGTGTGCTGGGCTACAAATCTTTAAATATTATTTCTCACCTCAGATAGAAGGCATGACACTTTGTCTTATGTTCCGACACTATGAGCAAAATGTTGGAGTAATGGATAGCTTGTGACATACCCTGCAGAAAAAAAGCCTTCTAGTCATGTTAGCAATGCTCATGTTAAAAATGTCCCTTGCTGTTCTGCTGTGACATAACAAATCTGTGAGAGACAAGGCAAAGCTTGGAACAAGGGGATAACTTGTGATATACAGAGAGACAATGAGCTTCATTGCCCTGGGTCTTCTGGGGATGTATGAAATTTAATCGGCTGCTACATCCGAGGCTGCTCTTTAATATAATTTTAGGTTCAAACTTGATCTGTTATTGCAGATTTGGCTGCAGGAAAGCACAGGAGACTGTGTAATCACAACAAACTGGGTAATAAATGCAATAATGCACTTTATTGATGCAATACACCGACCAGCAGTCAGACAATTAATTTCATTGCTGTTTAAATGTTAACAGATAGTTGTCGATTATCTTAGCTGAGCCAGATGAGACTAACGTGTGCACATGGGGGACTTGTAACTACTGAATGCTGACTCATCATGAACATGTGGGTGTAAAAATAAACAACTTAATAATCAACTAATTATTACAATTATAATTACTAAATATACAGCCGATCAAATACATGACATAACTATAAAACTGCATCCTGACTGGACCTTTTTTCTACATTCACAACACATTTCTGTGACGACCTAACCACATTTGCTCTTCATCTTCCAGGACAACTCCCCAGAGTGCAGCCATTATGTTGACCTAAGAATCCAACTAAATACCAACTGCCCAGTCACACCGTGATGGTTAAAAGGGGATGGTATTCACAATAGATCCCAGGTGTCTTAATTCAACCCAATTATGACTATATAGAGGAGATGTTGTCAGAGTAAATGTCGCTGTAGAATTCTCACGGATAATTACTTTGCTTCTGGGTGACAAGGGGCACATTTGGTGAGGGGAGATTAGACCAGCCCATGAAGGGGAGGAAGAAGTTCCCCCCATCTGATTTTGTAACTTTTCCCCAGGGTACAAAGTCAAATGTTGCAGAGGGCCCATTTCTATCCGGCCGTGTGTAATATAGACCACCGCTTTAACACTAAATGCCAGCATTTGACCATGAGGATTTGCTTTTAATTACTAACTAACTGCTGACATTTTGAACCTGCACTTTACTTTTTTGTGGATCACATTGTGTGCTGTATGGCAGCAGCATATGGATCACAGATGGGAACTTCTGCTTTACCTCGTGCCAGATACAAACTGCTCTCTTAGGAAGTCATTAAGCCACCTTTGTATTCACAACTTCTGCTTACTGTGAACTTTAGAAACTAAACACTGGATAGATTTTTTTTACCCACCTACCAAATTAACACACAATAAGTTATTAATAGGTGTCGGATCATGAATCTGCTTCATGCCACTCCACTTTAACCCTGATGTCTGGGTTGTGTGTGTCTCGTTAAATGTGTGGCAGGGGAACTGTGTGTCTTGTTTTGCTTTTTTCAATGTGTTTATGGGAAACGGATGCCTCATAAATTCTCAAGTGAATCAAACAAACATAAAATAAAAGACTAACAACTTCAGATTTGAGCCTAGTGTCTGTCTTATAATTCTAATGGGGGTAATAATTTTGCAATGGTGGAAACTTTAATTTGAACTTGATTCATTTCAACTTGCCTAATCAAGACTTGCTATTTATTTCCCCAAAATAGATTTGTTACCATGTGCAGTAGCTAACAGATGAGAAGCTTATCTCTGAAGTGGACAAGCACAGTCCACATCATACTTGGTTGACTCAGAAAGAAACCTAGGTTTAGTAGCACAAGGTTGTGGTTTCTACAAAAAATTCTCCCTGCAGCAGTCTGTGGTGGAATTTGGACACCTTGAGACGCCTGACACACATCATGTTTTAGAATCTCACTGCTCCTTGTTATTCCAGCCTCAACCTATCATCCCTGGAGTGTATATTTTCAGTGCTGACAGATGGAAAGAAAATTATGATAACAATTCACAGATGGAATTGACTGAACCAGAAAATTAAAAAAAAAAAGCCATTGGACAATGGAAATCTACTAAAATTGATTTCCAATATGAGGAAAAAGCAACATACATCTGGCCAGTGTCATGCTGAGTTGACTTCTGATAAACAAAGAGGTACACGACGTCTCCAGAGTGACATCATCACTGTCTTTTCATCCAAAGCAACACCAAACTGAGCTGCCTGGAAATCTCATCTTTATGGGGTGAATCAGCATGTGGAGTGGCTAAATCTGGACAATGAATCAGCAGCTCATCGTCTTGTGCCCAACTTTAAAATACAGCAGAAGATCCTTGAAATGGTGCTTCATTTGGGTAAATATAAAAAAAGCTGTGGAGGCTGTGACTCTTGTTAATATCCTAATTTTTAGTTTGATCTGTGAGAATTTTAATTACATCTTGTTGGCATTTGTACAGTTAAACATCCAGAACTTTTACTTATAACGTGACGCTTAAATAATATGTATACATTTCATTATATATATATTTCAAAGCTGTAGTTAAGATGCACAGACCAGAATAAACCGTTAAGTGGAGCAGCCCCTGCTCCTGGGAGAAAGGGTTCAGCACCACGGACAGCACCACGCATCAATACTCCCTCATTGGATGTTGGAGCAGTTTAAAGACTCCAGTTAGTGTCAATATGATCCAGAGAAAAACCTTTAATATATACCCTGTACAAAATCAAGAATGTGAGGAAGATAAACCTCCCTCACTTTCAAAATTAAAACAAATGATTCGTGAGATCATGTAAATGAACTCCTGCTCTTTTGATGGTGCCCTTATGTTTGCAGTTGTTCCCTCTACTTCTTTTCTCTCTGTCTCCTTTACGCTGCCATGCCTCACTTCTTTTTCCTCCCTCTAACATGGATGTTTTGTTTTTTTCTGAGTCCTCATTGGCAGATGAGTCTTTGAATGACAGTTCAGTGCCGTGTTGTTCGGTTCAGTAGCAGCAGCAGCAGGAGCAAGGTGATAGTGATTGTCAATGATGGTGGTTGTGCTGATGTCCAACACGTCGATCCAAGCTGTAGAGATGTGGTGACTAGACCGTCAAACGATTCAGTCATCCCTTGTGCGCTAGATGAGGCATTGTCATCCCTTTCCTCCCGGTGTTCCCGAAATGATGTTATTATGGAATGAAGCAGGATTTCATTCATGTCTCCGGTGAATCAGAGGCAGCTCATGGCTTTAATTCCACACACTCGGAGTTGAATGAACGATCAGAGTTCAGGGTCAGACTCAGAGTTGGATAAACCTGCGCTCTGGATTAGACGACATGCTCGAACTTTAAGTTGGACTTCTTTCTTGGCTCTCTGGATCTCCGTGCTGGTCTCTCACTTACGCAACCCCTCACCACCACCACCACCTCCTCCTCCTCCTCCTCCTCCCCCCGCCCAGACGTCATCTGCTGGAGAGCGGGCTTCAGTGATTTAAATACGGACTGAGAGGCAGGGAAGGTGTCTGTGCGAGAAACAGGAGCGTGTCTGGAAAGTGTGAGCGTGTGCGTTACAGGCTGCCACATGGTGGAGCAAAGCTTAACCAAACTTTTTTTTTTAATCTTTAGAACACCCCCTCCCCTGCAGTGGGGCACAAAGTTTAGACATCATCCAACAAACTAATTATTTACCACCACACATCTACCTTTGGCTTTACTTGGTCAAGTGTTTATTTCAAAAGCAACAAGTGCTGCAAGCTTGGGGCGACAGTTTGTCTTTATTCTTCTCCCCCACAAAAAAGAAAATGCTTAAGACATATTAGCCGCTGTTCAGCGCACCGTGGCCCAGTGTGCCACCGCCGTTCACACCGGATTGCGATGATCGTATCCAACGTGAGCCTGAGCGGAGGCTGCGCGGAGGTCAACAGCGCTCTGTGCGCCTCAGCCGGGGAAGGGCACCCGGGCGGCGGCTCGTACCGGACCACCCTCACTCCGACGGGGAACCTGGTCGTGGCTGTGTGCTTGGGCTTCATCGGCACTTTGGGACTTCTGAACAACCTGCTGGTGCTCGTGCTCTTCTGCCGCTACAAGATGCTGCGCTCGCCCATCAACCTGCTCCTGATTAACATTTCCATCAGCGACCTGCTGGTGTGCGTACTGGGGACTCCGTTCAGCTTCGCAGCCAGTACGCAGGGACGATGGCTCATAGGAGAAGGGGGGTGCGTCTGGTACGGCTTCGCCAACTCCCTCTTTGGTGAGTAGAAATGTAGATTGTGTAAGCAAATGTGCACACGGATGCTTTTGTTTGTGTGTCTGTGGCACATCTGTAGACTGCATTTTCTGTATTGGGTGTGAGAGATGGTGCGCTGCAGACTCTGTGTGGATCCTTCCCACGGCACTGCGCTTGTTTCAAACAATGAAGTTCAGCTTCATTGTTTGAAATGGAGCATTTGTAAACAGTAGAGAAACACTTTGCTGTATACATGTTGTGATGCGCATGGTGGGTCCTCACAACTTTCAAAGAAAAGGCTGAAAATCCGTGTAGCTCGGATGGATTGAATCCTGATAACCTGATAATTGTTTTTTTCCTTAACATCAAATCGGTTTGGTCAGTTGATTGGATTTTCACATGACGGGTTTTCTTTGTCTCAGACTCTCTCAGTAGCATTTTCAGAATTTTGGGTGAGACCATCCTGCAGCCTGCAGCGGAGAGAGGTGAGGTCTTGGTGAAAGTGCAGATCCTCTTATTAACTGTTATACTGTGCGAGGTGCAAGATAACACGGTCTCATGGTCGTGAAGATGTCTGGACGTCCATATGCGCATGTTTCTTACCAATGAATGAGTTTGTAAGATACACTGTAGTGGAGATGTTTGTGGATGGGGCTGCTGCATGACAGACTGTTGAATCACTTCCAAAGCTGCATGTGCGATGCATTTTCACGGTACCAGTGTGCAGTGGGTATTTAGAGCTGCTTAGTCATTTCAAAAGTCATTACTGACTCTGAAAACACGGCACACCGGACTGTCAAGCTGGTCATTTGGGCGCTGCACGCTGTTTTATGTATACAGTTGCGTGCTCCTATTAAATGGCCGTTAAACGCTCATTACCACATAGTTGAGTGAGTGGCATGCGCCTGAAGCAAGTGTAGCGTCATCACTGTTCATTTAGCTGCCCGTGCAGGTCCGTGCGCTGCGGGCACATGCACGGTCTCGGTCCGTGAGCAGGCTATGACGGATGCATCAGCAGCATTTGTTGCAGAATAATGTCACACCAGGGGAAATTAGCGATGAGAAAGCAGATGCAGGTCTACCTTTGCTAATATCGATGCAAATGGGGCGCAATGACGCGCTCCCTCACTCACCTGGGCTCGGGCCAGGCTGGGGATGCAGAGCCAAAAAAAAGCTTAGTGCAATGTAAAAGTTCTAATAAGGAGGTCGTATAAAACTAGCATAACAGTGTTCACATCCCACCCGAGCATGTGTATCAGTCAAGACTTCAACTGGCAATGTGTTAGATCCTCATTTGTGCATTAAACATAACAAATGTAACCACAGTCACAAGTCGTCCCTCTGACAACTGATTTGAGGTTCTTTAATGGCCAAGCCCTCTTACTTTCAGTCGCACTAATTGCCTTAAAAGCTTTTCAAGCCACCCACAGAACCTTTAGATGAGCATGCAGGCAGTCTGGGGTATGGGCTTTTGAAAACACCAATCCCTCAACTCTTTTGACATCAGCACAATGACATGCCATTTGTGTATCCTACTTCTCTCTGGCTGTCCAATCAAAGAGCACATGTCAAAGGATGTGTTGCACTTAATGATTTCAAACCAGATAAGAGATGGAAGTCATAATAAAGCAATGTGACAGAATTGGATTCTAGGGTCCTTCATGCTCCTATGAGCATCACACTTGACTGTGGCTAAAATCAATTTATATTAATCTCATATAAAATTAACTGCATCAAGTCTGGTTCTGTTTGTATAAACTTTGACCGACAACTGTCAGTCCTTGAATCAGTTTTGAATAATTAATCATGTTTTCATCACATTGCCGCTTTGTTTCCTGCCATCCCTCCCCCATCAATTAATCATAGCAACTGGATTTCATGGTCAGCTTCCTCTCAAAATGATTTCCTAAAGTTCATCAGTCACTGCTGGAAATAAAAAAAAATATCCCAACACTGTGAATGTTTTTTTCACAGGATTAAACACAATAATAACATCTGATTAAATATTTACAGCTTTTCAAAAACAGACTTCCAGCTCCATTTCCAGCTGAACATTGACTGCACATTGGATTTTGGACGCAGACCCACTCTGCAGTCAGCGGCCGATAACTTTCTCCCAGATGAAGTTTATAGAAAAGCTCTCATAAATCTTACAGGAAAGGTTCCCTCTCATTCGATTCTGCACACTCCATTTTAATGAAGAGCAGCTGCTGGTGACCACCCGTAATCTCAGCAACGCTAAAGCCAAACATGAAGGCTTTGATAATTAAACATGTCCGGCGTTTTGCTAACAGTATCACTTGCTTAGCTACCTGCTTATCAGAGTCCAACTCACATGAAGCACCTTTGGGTCTTGTTGAGGTTATTTTCAAATTTTTTGTACTTGTTTCAAAATGCGTATGTTGTTGTAGATGATTTGCTTTCCGCTGTAGTCTTACTTGTGTGGATGTTGTCTGTCTCTTTATAGTAATTTTACATCTATTTCTACTCATTTTGTGTCTTTGGAGTCATTTTACATCTTTCGTGTGCATTATATGCCTCCTTATGGCCGATTTGCGTCTCTGCCGTACTGTTACATCTAGTAGTTTTTGCATCTCAGTCTTTTTGTCGTTCTTCACAGTCATTTCACGTCCTTTTGCGATTGTATCTCTTTAAGTGACATTTGCAGCTAAAGCTCAGGAGACCTGCAACCCATCGAGCCCCTGGCTGTTTAATCCATCCATGCAGCAGAGGAAGGAAGTAAAGATCTACACACACATACGCTCAGTGATTAAGATTCATGCAGCGGACAAATCAGGCAGGCTTTTCCCTCCATGGCTTTGGTTACCAGGACTTGGTCTGCTGCTTAAACATTTCACACCCTACGTTTTACTTAACTTCACTTTCTTTGCTTAACAGCCTCTTGAATTTGTGAAACTTTTCAATTGATAACAGACTCTTCAGCACTACTTTCAGTTCCTCTTGGATACGTTGGCAGCTTCCAAAAATGGATTACTTCATTTCACTCAGATCATAGAGAATAAAGTGAGACTCCCATGTTTATCAGTATCTGGATGTACTCTGAGTGTATCCACTGTCTAGATAACTAGAGTTTTATGCTGATCTTAAGCGCTGTCTCACGACGTGTAACAGTGACATCCACAAAGAGCCAATTTATTAAAATCTCTCTGACAGGACTTTAGCTTCTACCAGCTAAAACATTGCAGGAAGATCGACTGCTTGTGTGTGTTCATGTGAGAGCAAGAGATGGCTTACAGACATCGTTAGAGCGCCCATTGGTTATGGATGAGTAATTCCTCAATGGTCTCATAAAAACAGAGTGCAAGAAAGAGTGGAGCAGGGTCATAGAAAGGAAAAGTGAAATTCAGATGAATAATGCTGTGTGCTGCTTTTGACACAGTGTGTCTGTATTCACCAAATCCCTGTAAAACTTCTCTGAATGATCAATGCTCCTTCAAATTAAAGGGCATGACTGTCAGTGACAAAAGATGTTGTTAGCCTGGCGTAGTCATGTTCCTACTCCCTCTGCACATTGATTTCTACTTCTTGCTCACAATCTCCGGCTTTTGGTCTATAACATCTTAGATTTACGAAAGACTGAACAATAGAAAATGAACAGGTTTAATTTCAAGCCAAAAACACAACCTGCACTTTTTCCTTTCTGCCATCAACCCCCTCACACCCATTTAACTGCTTTACCTGCCCTGACTGTTTTTTTTTTGCATTTTCCTCTCACTTTCCTTCTCTTACTGAACTTTTATTGTCTTCCATTAAACTCTTGGGGGAACAGGAGAAAATGTATTTTTCTGTCTTTATTTGACACCAGGTCTGCGTGTCCCTGCATACTGTTGGCTGACTCCTTCTGCCTCAAGTGATCTCTGCACAGTCACTGGATTAATCTTGCACTGCTGGGCCCACACGCTGCATACTGAAGTTAGATCGCCCTCCTGCATGCACACACACACACACTTGCACACGCAACCAAGCACAGATATAGATGACGATGTCCAGGGGAGAGGAAATGCATATACATGTGCATCACGCAGGCACCAGCAGCACCTGGCCAGAGTGATTTTAATTTGGTACGACGGGAAGAAAAAAAGGAAAAAGAGATTAGAACAATGCTACTGCGCCATAAAGGTCAAAGAGAGTGAGCCATCTAATGAGCAGGTGTACTAAATAATAAACGAAAGGTCTTTCAAAGCAGAGACCAAATTATATTTTGCGGAAACATGTCTGGTTTGAGTTGTGCATTAATGGGAAAAATTAATCAAAATAAATCATCCCTTCAACTGCTAGCCAAAGCCATCATCCTAATGTTAGCGAGACGTTTTCTTCCAAATTAAAGACTTCTCTTTTGTTTGAAACATATCAGCATCACAATACTTCCCCTGCACTTATGATGACCAAGGAAAAAGACACAGCGATGAGACAAAGCTTTATTTGAGCCTGTGTTTTTCATTCAAAACGTCTTTTCCTGGATGTACCTTATAAACCTATTGAGCCAGACACTTTCTAACAGACACATAAGACGGAGGCAGTCTGGGAGCAGCACAGACAGCCGAATAAAGATGCTCCTTTTTCTTGATTTCAGATTATTAGATCATAAGATGTTTCATTTTGGAATATTAGCTTCAACTGCTTCCTTTGATCCTGCATGAGGACAGGGGGGGGTTTGATTTCACTCGGTATTAAGCTACATCCAGAGTTCTGGGGGTGTCTTTCACGATGACATTACATGGGCTTTAATAAAGATTTCCTTGTCAGTCATATACTTTTTAACCAAAAAAAGAGCAAGGGGAATTTGATGGGATTGGAAAGTATGTCGTTTCTGTAAGTGATAAATCATAATCAACTGCAGCAGATTTGAAGAGCCTGAGGCCAAGGGACTGCTGTCAAAGGTTTCAGAAACATGATGACTGCCAACATTAAAGTTTTATTCTCCTGCATGTATGTCGTGGAGGAGACTTCAGTCGATTTTTCCCTCAAATAGTGTCTGTTTCAATGATTTATAACGCCAGTACAGTACATAAAGAATTTATTGGCAAGTTTCAAGGCTTCTCAAATTAAGCGTGATGTTCATTTGGTAAAGAATTGCTCTACTTACAGTAAGAGACAATAAAGTATGGATATATGGGGGTATAGCTAGTAGGCTACCTTCCAATAGGTGCTGGTCGGATGCAGTGTCCTCACATTCTCAGTCAAGCTCACTCCGCAACCCCCGTGCTTATACTTCTAGTTTACAAAAACAAAGATGGCACTGGCCCAAATGACTTGACACTTGAAAGCAGCTCTAAAAATCAATGGGTGACATCCCAGTGGATTCCATGTATACTACCAATACACATAATACCAACACAGCAGAAACGTTGCAAGCTCAGCATCAAACCTAACTCCATTAATTACTCCAGTGAAGGAAAGTAATGCCAATGTTTATTCTAGTTTTGATTAGATTAATTTGTTGCTCCGAGTAGGTTAGCATGCTAACTGGCTAGCCTCAGCCTGGCAGGTCACTTTCAGATAGCGGGTCACTGTAGAGTCCTTCTCCCCTGATGTAGTAGCACTGCTCAGAGGGCATATTACAACCCTTTGTCTTGTTAACACAATCTTGGCAAAGTCACCACCACCCACAAGAAAATGAAATAAATTGCCATAATAATTCATTTTTATGAATCAAGCAATCAGAAATAATCACAATTTGTAAAAGTTATAGTGTAACTTTTAGTTTTTGTTCCAAAACATACAGGAGTAATGGCTGCCTCTGGCAAGATGGGTTTGTTGCCAGCTATTACTACTATCACAAAGATAACATCAGCCAGTCCACCTGTTGTTTGAAAGTTCTTCTGTTGTTTCTTTTTAAACTGCAAAGAGAATAGCAGAGTAAAATAACGAGATGAGAGAGTAGTGATGAGCTGACATGAAAGTGTCCTTTGTAAAATAGATGGGAAATAGTGCGTGTTGGTGTCAGTTGCTATGAGTCAGTCAACCCACATTAAACAGAAACACAAGTAGTTTGTTGTAAAACTTTGTTTACTTTGTAATATTGCAGTAACAGAGCTAATAAAAGCCTGGAGCTAAGCAGTCTGTGCAGAAAAAGCAGCATGATTGCAATATCTGGGGGCAACAGTCAGCACACTGTGCAATAAAGACAATAGAGACTCTGAAGGCAGTGCAGTATGGTGGATGTATGTGCACACAAACAAAAACATTCACAGAGCTAAAAGTATTTTAAAAGTGTTCTACTGCCTTTTCCCCCCTAACTTTTCCCCCTCCTCATTTTTACCTTTATTCATTTATTGTGTTGAGTGTTTGCAGCTTTGGCACCTTAAAGAAAGGTCTGGCTCACTTCCCTAAAGGAACACTCAGTTTAGCTCCACTTCATTGCCACTGAAAATCAATGGGCATGAAGGACAGCCTTGTGGATCACACCAGCTTCTAAACAAAAAGGCTGAGGGGTCAGCGTGAGCACTGAGCTGCAGGCTCCTGCTGCTCTGCCTCTGAAATAACAGCAAGGCATTGAGATATCAAGTTAGAGTGAGAGTGTGTGTGTGTGTGTGTGTGTGTATGTGTGTGTGTGTGTGTGTGTGCACTGAGCAGAGAGACTACAGGTTGTGGTGCTGTTGGTGATTTACAGCAGCATGGATCTGCTGCAGGAAGCTGCTGAGCTGAAATACCATACAACCACATTCGCAATAGTTTTATTACACGGCACATTTCACTGGGGCAATTATTTTTTGAAATTATAACCCAACCTCTCTTTGAAACCCTAAACCATAAAGCTCATTTTGGCTGCACTTTTGATTTCAGAGAGAGCTGGGAGGTTTTATATCACAGTGACTGTGCATGATTATCTTAGATGCACAGATTTGGAAAGACTGAGTTTAGTCTGTATTTGATGGCCTCATTAAATGTGATGTACAGTAGTCAGGTAATAAAAAGGAGGCACAAACCTGCACATGATGTCTACAGTGTTATATTCCGCTTATGTACTATATTTAAACTGTTGAAAGCTGGATCTACCATTCTTGTAACTTATGTATATGTTTCCCCTGTCTTGTTTGCTGTAGGTATCGTGTCCCTCATCTCCCTGGCTATCCTCTCATATGAGCGCTACAGCACCATGATGGTCCCCACTGAGGCCGACCCCTCCAACTACCATAAGATCTCACTGGGCATCACCCTGTCCTGGGTCTACTCCCTCATTTGGACCTTGCCGCCTCTCTTAGGTTGGAGCAAATACGGCCCTGAAGGACCCGGGACCACCTGCTCTGTCGACTGGAAGGCCAAGACAGCGAATAACATCTCTTACATCATCTGCCTGTTTGTCTTCTGCCTCATCATGCCGTTCCTGGTGATCGTGTTCTGCTATGGGAAGCTGCTGTGCGCCATCAGACAGGTAAGTCTATGGGGAAGACTTTCACTAATGTTGTAGCATTAGCACAAGGAAATCTGGGTTCACCCTTAACACTAGATGCATCTGGGGTCTTTGGGATTTTCAAAACTAAAACCACATTTTTCATAAACCTTGATACTTCAGGGGATAGAATAATGAGTGCTGGCACCAGCTCATATATATTCTGACAAGGTAAGCAGTCAGATTATTGACCAAGAAAATACAGTAGATATTTGTTATTGAGGAAACTTTTCAAAACTTACTACCTCAGTAACGATGGATGATTCTTGACCTGAACAATTCCTACCCTAGAACAAGTGCACACAGTGTGAACTGTGAGCCATTGTTAATAGAAATAACACCAACTAAAATGTCTCTAAATTGTTTGTTTATATGTATAAAACTCAGAAAGACACTAACACCTAATAGCTTATGAGCAGTGAGCAGCTTAAGAGACTGCATTCTCTCCAAGAAGTGGGTGGAGAACAAACAAAGTCAGAATTAATGTTTTTCACACCTGAAGTCTGGATCATGTACAAACCCAGGTTCAAGTCTTTGTTACATTGTTTTCATCTGATCTGGTTTCACTTTGTAATATCGGGAGCTGACTTAAAGGTTCAGTGTGTACAATTTAGTGACATCTAGAGGTGAAGTTGCATGTTGCTGCTGAATGCTCTTCATCTCACCCTCCCCTTCCCAACATGAAAGAGAACCTTTGGTGAACTTCAGTTGTCATGAAAACTCAAAAGTTTTTAGTTTGTCCAGTTTGGACGACATTAAAAAAAATGGCGGCCTCGCAGAGAGGATCCCCCTCCATGTTAATATAAAGTTTTAATTATAAAGGGCCCATTCTATGGTAAAGAAAACAACAATTCATATAATTTAGATGAAACACTCCAGTGAAAACATCACTAGGATTATTTTATATTCAATTTCTGCCAAAAAATCCCTTTCACCCAAATCTAACACACTGAACCTTTAAGAATTCTGTATCACAAATTAAAGTTAAAGAGTTAACAAAGTTAAAGAAATAGACTGCAAGCAATCCTACAAGCTGCTTCCACTACTCTTTAATCTTCTATTGTTTAATGCTGCCTCATCTTCCTGTGATAGGTCCGAAAGCCTGAACTATCCCAAAAAGTATTTTCACACTGCATATGATCTGAGGAATGGTTCAGTTTGATCCAGTCTGACGACATTTTAATCAGTTGGTCCGCACCATAGTCAGAGGAACCTTTCACACTTGTTATTTTGGTTCAGACTTAAGTGAAAATACAGATGGTCTGGAGCACACAAGGTAGGTTTGAAAGCCCCTTTATACTTTAAGTGGCCAGAAACTACAAATACATGTGAAAGCAGTGACAAATCTACTGGATACGTAAATAAATAATAAAGCTTGTTAGTACACAGTCATATATATACAATACAATATATATATAATATATATGAGTATCTAGCTCACAGGATGGTGATCATTGCCAACTTATTCAGCGACAGTTGAGAATCTCACTGTGGCGATATTACACATTATCTGCAGTCCAACACAAATCAAAATAAGAACACAAGCAACAACAATGATATATAATATGATTCAACCAGAACCTCTACATGCTGGATACGACTGCAAATTAAATAACCCAAATATTAAAACTGTCAGGACCCCTATATTGACTCCTGAAATGTAGAGGTAGAGACAGTTGCAATGTCTTTATTCAAATGGTGTTTTAGACTGAAACACAGGTGTGTACTGGGTTATGAAATGCTTTCATATGATTTAAGCTGATGTTATGAGAAAAGTGTTATAAAGTGAAATACAACTCAAAGATTCAATATCATTTCTTAAGATGACTACATGAAAAGTCTCTGTTATTGTGCTAAAGTAACTAAACTTATCAAGCAAGAACTCTAGTAGTTGTGAACCAGTGAACTAAAACCTGCAGGATATGATACATGATACTGAATGATACATGAAGATGTATCATTCAGCTGTGACTCTGGGACTTCATTATTTGGTTTTATTTGACATCCATCCATCCAAACATTCATTACACAGCAGAGCTAATGGCAGTTACCCTAACTCTAGCTGTATCCAACTAAAATGACCATGGGTGCTGTCACTGCAAGTCCATGAAGTCAATCTCTGGGTCTTTGATGGGACACACCACAGCACAGTTATTTGTACTGGCTTCAAATTGAGAGAGTCACAGTCAGTATTTATGTGAGCCGAGTTAGAGGAAATATAACCTTTAGCCAGTTATACATTTTTTGGATCTTCCAGGACTCAGTTAACTTTATCTTACAGGTTCAATGTAAGATTTAGGTGAAAGGGATCTATTGGCAGAAACTGAATATAAAATAACCCTAGTGATGTTTTTGCTTTTACGATTTAGAAGGAGAGGATGAGGTGAGAGGTGTTCAGCTGCAACACGCAACTTCACCACTAAATTCTACACACTGAACCTTTAAATAGTCATTTAACTGCCTGAAAATTTTGTTCCTGCTGACCCCCAGTGGTCATCTGTCCGTCACGCTGGACTCAAACCCCGTGGCACCACTGCAGGGTGAGATTACAGGTGCCACAGTGCACATTTCTGTAAACATCTATTTTCTTATTGTGCTTATAATAGTCATATAATATATTCTATCTTCTAATAAGAATGTAAACTTTATGGGCGACGTCATTTCCCTGAGTGTATGTCCCAATGTGTTTCCCAACTCTATTGCTAACACTACAAATGTGTGTGTCCGTTTGCATGTGCTCTGTCTTTGATCAGCGGCTTGGTGTGTGACACAGACACAACTGTGAGCAAAGATAGGTTATAATTAATCTATCAAGAACAATGCTGCCTTCTTTTCTTTTCACATACAAGGTTTTCTTCCTCTCTCTCCATCTATTTGCTGTCCTGCCTCATCAGAAAGCACACCCAGCTCTTTGTACATGATACAGGGTGAAACAAGGGAAAGTTATACGTCAGCTTCAGCTTCTTTGTCCCCCTGTCTTGTCCTTTGGTTGTTCTTTTTGCAGGATTAAATGAGCATTTTTTATCTGGTTTTAATGGCTTGCTGTGCTACTCATGGGTTGTTCCTCTCCTGATGATGGTGAGTACTTGCTATTGTTAAAGTCAGGTCATGTTGGAAATCAACGGCTGGGAAAGATAAAAGTATGTCAGCAACTTGTCGACTAAAACTTAAGAGAGTCGGCTCCCCTATCTAATAATGTGAAGATCAGTGGAGCAGTCCATGCTGGGTTTGATCTGAGGTGGTGTGCATTAGCCTGATCCCATCTCATAGTGAAATCAAATATCAGAGGTAGAGGAACGAAGTTGAGTATTTTGTCACGGCTTTCGATGGAATAATGACAAAACTGTTTCCATGAAGTGAAGATGAGACTCCTTATTAGGTTTACTCATGTGCCCATCAATAGCTCTCTGAGGGGATTTTAAGAAAGGAAATGGACAGAAACACAGTTAAAGAGGAGACAGGCAGACACATAAGCAGAAATCATCTATGCCTGCTTGTGCATGCTTCTTAGTGTCTGTCAATGTTGTTGTCTCTTTTATTGCTCGCTCTCTGAGCTGGCAAGTTGAAGTCTCCACATAAGTGTGGAGGACAGACGATATGGGAGAGTTGAGGTCGTTCCTTTGCAAGCACTTCAGTCAGAAAGTGCATTATTTGAAGGTCTGCTTTTGATTACTATCGTATTACTATATAGTAATCTCTGGAAAAAAGGTTGTAACAGCAAATCACTTGCAGTGTGTCAAGGTGTTATTCTTATACAGACAACCTGTGTATCAGGTACTTAAAGGTACAGTGTGTGGAATTTTGTGATATCTAGTGTTGAAATTACATGTTGCAGCTGAACAGCCCTCACCTCACCCTCCCCTTCTAAAAGTGAAAAAGAACCTGTGGTAGCCTTTAGTTATCATAAAAACTCAAAAAGTGGTCCCCTCGATGTAAATAAGTATTTAAATACAAAGGGCCTATCTGGGGTAAAGAAAACTACAATACATACATACAATTTAGATGAAATGAACTCGAATTATTCTACATTAAACATCTGCCAATAGATCCCTTTCACATAAATCTTACACACTGGACCTTTAAAATCAGCCTGTACCTCATGCCAACCAAATTCAAACTGTATTCAGACTTTACCCAGAATCCATCTGGGACTCGGTATTAAAAACAACATCCATCCATTTACTCTGCAGAAAGAGCACTTATAGGTAAATTATTATACCAGCAGTGTCCATGGTTTTTAAAAGGTCTTGTAAAATGTCTTGAACAAACAATTTCATGAGGCTGTAGATATGGAGATAGAGTGGGTGTCTAAAAGTGGCTTGTACTGTAAAGCACTTTAAGAGGTTGTTGAGGTTTTC